CTGTAGTTAGGGATTAGCTACCCATGCTGTCAGCTTCTGTACTGCACCTGCAGAATGGCTCCATCCTGTTTTCTGTAGGCAACTTGGAGAGATGTGGCTTCTTTTCTTCACTAGGATATTGTGCAGAGTGCTTTTTTGAGTTAGTGTGTAGTGTCTTTGAACTTTGATATCTCTATACCCAGACACACCAGTGATCTCCTAAAAATGTGGGTTCCTTTACTTAATTCTCTTATCTTTCCAATTTGCTTGTCTGGGAAGCACTCTGAGCACACCACCAGTGGCAGCAATGGTGCTGGGGATTACTTGCTTTCTTTTATTTTTATTTTTTTTAATACTGGGGATTGAACTCAAGGGCACTCAACCACTGAGCCACAATCCCAATCCTATTTTGAATTTTATTTTGAGACAGGGTCTTGCTGATTTGCTAATAAATCCTTGCTGTTGCTGAGGCTGACTTTGAACTCAGGATCCTCCTGACTTAGCCTCCCCAACTGCTGGGATTATAGGCGTGTGTCACTGCACCTGGCATTTCCTTATTTTATTATAGCCAACCTCCTGAGTTCCCTTTCTGTTTGGAATGTTCAATATTAGTTCCTGGTAAAGTCCATTTTTAAAATTTTTTTACCTACCTTTCTAAGAATCTGCTGAGTTGCTTTCTTGGTTTCATGCCACTGAGCAGCCAGGAAAAAAAAAAAAAAACCTCTCCTGTTCCACCATCTTGAAAATCTTTGCTTTTCTTTCTTTTGATAGCATAGGCATTAGTCATGTGACATAATCTCTGTGTACCTCATTTTCTTCATGAAGAGTATTATAACAATGTCAATTTTAAATGATGTTAAGAGATTTAAATGGGTCACTATTTTTAAATTTCCTGTAATGGTATTTGACATTTAATAACTGCTAGGTAAGCATTTGTTAAGTAAAAATGAATGTAGCTACATATATGAATTTACCCCAAATTATGATTAGTTGCAGTATGTATTTGAATTATTTAAATAATCAATATTGTATCTTTCTCTGTTTAATTTTCTACAGCATATCGTGAACCTCATTATTATTATCAGTTCACAGCTCGGTACCATGCAGCTCCCTGCACTAGTATCTATAATATTTCCTTTGAGAAGAAACTTCTTCAGATTTTAAGCAAATTGGTTCTTGAACTTTCATGTGAAATTTCCTTACTTAAATCTGAATGCCATCGTGTTAAAATGCAAAGAGCTGGTTTGCAAAATGAATTGTTCTTTACATTTTCAGGTAAGTGTAAAAACTTTCTTAAAAAAATTAAATCACATAACCAATTTTGAATACTTTATGAATTACCAGCAATATTTTTGGAATATAAATTGTATAAATTAAGTATATTTTCTATTCTGTGTTTTGATTTTAGGGCTGATAACTCCCAAATAAAGTCCCAATTTATGTACTCAATGAGAAGTTTGCTCTTTCAAATAACTTAAACCCTCCTTTGATAATTTACTACAGGATGGAATTTAGCATAGGATATATTGTTATATTTAGTTACAATGGTTTAATATGTGAAAACATCTAATTAGGAGGTTGCTTAACATTGTAGACCGGACAACCATTTAGCTTCCTGTACTTTTCTTGATCTAAAGGGAAGCCTAAAGACAAAGAATCAACTTGAGTTGCAAGGATTTTAGATTTATAAATGGTCTGTTTAAGAATGCTCTTTCAGGGATCCTACAGAATGGGAGCAACTTTTTACCACATGTGCATAACATCGAGTGCTAATCTCTAGGAAAGATAAAGAACTCAAAAATCTTACTTCAAAAAAACAAATAACCCAATCAATAAATGGACCAAAGAACTGAACAGAGACTTCTCAGAAGCTGATGGAAAGTTAATCAACAAATGTATGAAAAAATGTTCATCATCTCTAGTAATTAGAGAAATGCAAATCAAAACTACTCTAAAATTTCATCTCCCTCCAGTCATGGCAGCTATTAAAAATACTGTGTGTTGGTGATAAGTTTTGGCAAGTATGTGGGGAAAAGGGCACTCTCATATGTTGCTGGTGGGACTACAAATTTGTGCAGCCATATGGAAAGAAGTATGGAAAACTGGGAATGGAACTACAATTTGACCCAGCTATCCCACTCCTGGTTTATATCCAAAGGACTTAAAAACAGGATACTACAGGGACACAACCACACCAATTTTATAGCAGCACAGTTCACAACAGATAAATTGTGGAATCAACCTAATTACCCTTCAGTAGATGAATGGATAAAGAAAATGTGGTATATATACACAATGGATTATTACTCAGCGTTAAGAGAATAAAATCATGGCATTTGCAGGTAAATGGATAGAGTTGGAGAATATAATGCTAAGTGAAGTAAGCCAATCTCTAAAAACCAAATGCCAAATGATTTCTCTTACACAAGAATGCTTATTCATAAAGGGGATGCCGTGGGAGCATGGAAGCAATAGACAAACTTTAGATAGGGAAAAGGGGAGGAAGGGGAAGGGAAAGGGTATGAAGGTAAGAAAGACCGTGGAATAAGATGGACGTCATTACCCTAACTACATCTATGAAGACACAAATGGTGTAACTCTACTTTGTATACTACCAGAGACATGAAAAATTGTGCTCTATATGTGTAATATGAATTGAATCACATTCTGCTGTCATATATAACAAATTAGAATAAATACAATTTAAAAAAATAGAAAAAAAGGAATGCTGTCTCAGGAGTAGCCATCCGTGTGTGTGTGTGTGTGTGTGTGTTTTAATTTTCTGTCTTTTAAAAAAAATTTGATGTTTTTCTATAGTGGGGATTGAACCTACATGTATATTACCACTGAACTACATTATTTTTTTTTTATTTTGAGACTTGTTCTTATTAAGTTGTTTCAGGTAGGCCTTGAAATTATGATCCTCCTGCTTTAGCCTCTATGTTACAGGCATGCATCACAGCATTCCACTGAGCTCATTCATGTGTTTTATAGCATGCTTCCCCTCCCATTTCATCTCAAAAGCTATTGCTTGCTATATTCCTTTCTTCTTCCATATTTTCCTTTGATTTCTCTGTAATCAGTGTTTGATGATACTTACCTATTTCCCTAACTTTTTCTTCTCTTTCTTTTCTCTCTCATTCATATTTTGATCATTTAGTATTGAATTTTGAAAGACACAATTGTATGACATTTAGATTTAAAGGCAAAGGACATAAGCAGTTCAACCTAATTTCCAGTCTTGATCTTCCTTGCCAAGTTTTTTCTCAAAAAAACCCAAAAAAAAAACAAAAACCCTGAAATTTGTCTCCAATCCCTAAAACAAATGACCAGAGGCAGACTGTTTGTTTAGTTTTTAGTTTTTCAAAAATCCAAAGACTTTGTACCTTTTGTAACTTCTCAGTGTTTCTATGACAGCTTGATGTTGATTGCAATTACATAGTTTACTATCTGCTACTCTATTTTTGCCACACACACAAAAAAAGCCATTGGAATTTTGCTAGGGAGTCTATTAAAATCTGTATATGGGTTTGGGTATCATTGCCAGCTTAACAGTATTATATGTTAGTTTACAAACATAGAATATCTATCCATTAATTTAAGAACTTTGCTTCATTTCAGAGTGTTTTATAGTTATCAGTATAGAAAACTTAGTGACAAATTTAGTTCTAATTGATATAATTATACAAAATAATGGATTCATTTTGGCATATTTTATATGTACATAACATAATTTGGTCAGTTTCATTTCTCAGTACCTTTCCTTTCTATCCTCTCCTCCCTCTCTCCAATCTTCAACCTCTGGTGTACTGTCTTCCTTCTCTTTTCAGGACCATCCTCTTTGTGCATTTTTCCTTCTAACTCCCACATATAAGAGAAAAACATATGGCCCTTGATATTTCTTAGTCTGTTTTATTTCATTTAACATGATGTTCTATGCTTCCATCCATTTACTTGCAAGTCCTATAATTTTGCTCTTTATGCCTTCATAAAATTCCATTGTGTATATATATCACATTTTGCCTATCCATTAGTTGATGGACACCAGCTGGTTCCATAACTTGGTCATTGTAAATTGTGCTACTATACCATGCATACACATGTATAACCACAGTATGATGCCTTTAGTTCTTCTGGAAAACATTGAGATCATATGTTGGTTCTATTCCTACTCTTTTGAGAAACTCCATACTTAACTTTTTTAATGGTTTCACTAATTCACAACCCTACCAACAGTATATAAGTATTCCCCCCATCTTCACCAGCATTTATTATTATTATTTGTATTCTTGATGCTTGCTGTTTTAATTGAGTAAGATGTAAGTTCAGTGTTGTTTTGATTTGTACTTTCTTGATTGCTAACACTTTTTTCACATATTTTTGGTCATTTCTATTTTTTCTTTTGAGAAATGTCTGTTTAGATCCTTTGCCCATTTATTAAGTTGGTTGTTTTTTTTTTCAGTGCTAAGTTTTTTCTGTATATTTTAGATATTAATCCTGTGTCTTAAGAGTAACTGACAAAGATTTTCTTATATTCTATTTGCTCTCTTGATTCTTTTGCTCTATAGAAGTTTTTCAATCTAATATCATTCCACTTATTAATTGTTGGTGTTACTTTCTGAAATTTAGGGTCATATTGAGGAAGTTACTGCCTGCTCCTACATGTTAGACCCTGTGTTTTCTTCTAGAAGATGCAAAATTTCTCTTCATTACTAGGTCTTTCATTTTCTTTAAGTTAGCGATTATGAAGGGTGCAAAATTGGGCCCTAGGTTCACTAAGTTTGCGTTTTACATAGGATATCCAGTTTTCTTCAGTGCCATTTGTTTAAAAGGCTGTCCTTTCTCCATTGAATGCTTTTGGCACATGTGTTAAGAATCAGATGACTAGGAGGAGGGAAGATGGCGGCGAGGGGAGTGCATTACCCCCGTGTGCTGCTTCACTGTGTGGGAGTGTGACAAGTCAGGACGGCTGAAGGATATCTTGTTGGGAATTTCCAGCAATAGTGGGGTGCGCGGGAACCTGGAGGAAGGATTTCCATCGCATGAGGATCGGCTACGGGGACTCAAACGCGAGAGGTTTGTCGCACGGAGGGTAAAACTGCTTATTCAGCGAATCGCCCCGCGGCTGGAGTCTGCAAGGCGCGCTGGGATAGAGACGCAGGGTTACAGCGCTGCAGTTTCTGCCAGACGCGCAAGCACCGCACTCAGGGCTGAATTCTGGGTTCGAGACGGGGAAGGAAGCGGTCCATCTCGGTTCTCCACACCGGTCAGACCACAGAGGAGGCCAGCAGCCACCATGTTGGTAAACTGACGTCACCACACCTGTTTTTGACTGACCGCAGCTCATTCAGCCATAGAACAGGTAATTTCAGGCTGCAATTCGCCTGCGGCTTGCAGACAGATTGCTAGGGTTCAGCGCCTGGGGGCTTCTTAAAATCTGATCTTATCGGAGTGAACACGGAGCGCGGGGCGAGTCCCGGCTCCCGGAGCCGTCCCGGAACCGCCCTGGCTCCGGGCTGCGGAGCCTGCAGAGGCTGCTTCTTGGACCCTGCTAATATCAGAGCAAACACGAAACACCAAGAGGCCGAGTTCCGGCTCCCGGAACTGAGCCCGCGGGGACTGCTTCTTGGAGCTTACACTTGTAGGAGCTTACACCGAGCACAGAGCGGCCGAGTTCCGGCTCCCGGAACCGTCCCGGAACCGCCCTGGCTCAGGGCTGCGGAGCCCGCGGAGGCTGCTTCTTGGACCCTGCTACTATCAGAGCATACACCAAACACTAGGCGGCCGAATTCCGGCTCCCGGAACTGAGCCCGCGGGGGCTGCTTCTTGGAGCCTACACTTATAGGAGCTTACACCGAGCACGGAGCGGCCGAGTTCCGGCTCCCGGAACTTCCCTGGACCGGGGCTGGGAGCCCGCGGAAACTGTGTCTCGGTCCGGGTCCTGCTGAGGGCAGGTCAGGACTCACCCATTGCTTGGGTTGCCTGGCAAGGGGAACGAAATGCTGCCATTCGCATAGGATACCAACATGGCAGAGATCTGATGTCAGCAGAAAGCGGTGGAGGAGAGATCTTCATCAATACCAGCGGTGACATAAGCAGTTGGTCTCCTGGTAAGGGGGGTGAGGCTCAGTCACCCGAGTCTCCTCAATTTGTCCTCGAGCCAGAGGGAAGGAGCCGGGCCGCCGCCAGCCCCCGGAGCAGGCCCAGCGGCTCGCCAGCGTGGTGACCGCGTGACCCCAATTGGAGAGGGGGCGGAGCGGAGCCGCCACCCAAAC